CGAGCTGGACAAGAATGGCGAAAATATTCCCTGGAGAAGGGGAACAAGAGGGACAAAGGACGAACACAAATCTCCAAACACAGCTAGGTGACTGGTGCGCGACCGAAAAAATCCAGGGGTTGAGCAATTTACCTTTTGCGAAATCTCCCAAGCGCCCCGGCTCGCGCGCAAGGAATTGTGGGAGAGACTGTTCCTCGCCTGGCCGCTCCGCCTTGAGATCGCGTTGCCTTGTCGCTTGTCTCCTCTTAATCCTCTGTTCTCCGATTCTATTACCTATTTCTATCGATTCCAGTGTATCTTTTATTTTCCATTCTCTTCGGCGCGCAATATTTCTTGTATATATATATATATAGTATTTGTGTCTTTATTTTGCCTTTTTCGACGGGAGCCGACGGACAACACGCCGCTTTGCGCGTCGTTCCCCGGGTGAGTACTACCGTTGCTGCTGATTCCTATCGCGCTGTTAGCTGTTCATTTTTGGTTCATTTGACCGGCGTGCAGTCGAGAGGGGCCGTTTATGAACACCCGCGCACATGTCATACGGGTAGGCAGAGCTCTGAATCAACAATCGCGACGTGAGAGCCGAGTGCGCTGTGATTTGGCCGCCCGCGCTCGCTCCGCTGATTCGCACTGCAGCGTATGCCTTCGAGTACCACTTACTTGACCAATATACAGCACGCCGCTTTGTCGCCACGAACCATCTGTTCGAATGTTTGCGAAGCTGAGGCATATGCAACGCTGTGGCGCCTGACTACTGCGCGCTGCGGCGCGATCCCTTCCCAAACGCCGACGCTCAATGTCGCGGCTTGAAAGCATCTATGGCATGACTTCGTAATCTATCTGCTAAGTTGTTGTCAATTGCCAACGCCCTTTTACAAGTGCAGAGATATGTTGCCGCGAATCATTTTTCTGAATGCCTGCGAAGCCGTAACACCGTTCGTCATATCCAACGTGCGGTGCCTGACGGACTGCGCGCGCAGCCCTTCGCCAGCGCCTGTGACCCTTCGTCGCGGCTTGTATGCGCTTATGGTATGCCTTCTTAATCTATCTGCTAATTGGTTGTCAGTTGAAAACACCATTTTTAAGTGCAGAGATGTCCTGTCACCGAGGCAGTCACCTTCAAACTCGTAGTTCCTTCGATAATTTAATTTCTCGAGTCAAGATGTCAGCAACTGACAACCGCCGAAAAGGCTGATCATGAATGCATGCCAAAGGCGCATACAAGCCGCGACGTTGAACAGCCGGTGCTTGCTATGGGCTCGCGCCGCTGCGTGCAATTGTCAGGCGCCGCAGCGTTGGATATGCCGAACGGTGTTACGATTTCACAGGCATTCGGACAAATTATTCGCAACGGCAAAGCGGCGTGCTGTATGTTGGTCACGTTGAGCGGCACTCGAAGGCATACGCTACAGTGCGAGTCAACGGAGCGAGCGCGCGCGGCCAAGTTAGAGTGCACTCGGCTCTCGCGTCGTGGTTGTTGATTCAGAACTCCGCTGACCCCTATGACATGTGCGCGGGTGTTCATAAACAATGTTCATATGTAAATATATACAAGAAATATCGCGCACAGAAGAGAAGAGAAACACTTAGAAGCAGTAAAAAATACACTGGATAATAGATAAAAATAGGTAATAGAATGAAAAACAAAGGATTAAGAGGAGACAAGCGACAAGACAATGCGATCTCAAGGCAGAGCGGCCAGGCAAGGGACAGTTTCTCCCACAATTCCTTGCGCGCGAGTCGTGGCGCTTGGGAAAATTTCAAATCGTCTATTAAGCCCCTTTATGCGGAAAATTAGCGACATCCTTTGAAGAATGCGGCCTGCTATCTTGGGCCGATCAAGGCGGCGGTACAGTCGACGCGCTGGTGTAAAAAAGACAGAGGAGAAGGGAGAAGATGTCGCTACCTTTCTTATTTAGAAGCATTAGTTGAGCTAGGTAATGCCGACGGGCTGAGTCAGCTGCAACTGCGTGGATATTTGTTTAAGAACTGCATGGTCGGGGAGGTCTTCATGTTGGAAAAGGCGTTCCCATTGTTGTCGGCCGCAGATGTTGCACAGGCTACATATAAGGATCCCGTAGTGTCGACAGTAAAAGAGGCCTTGTGGTCTAGGAAGCGACTGCTGGGGTCTGCCGAATGGAGACCATTATCAGGTCGGCTAAAGGAGTGTTTCGTTCGGGAGAGTTGTGTACTGTGGGGTTGCCGAATAGCAGTGCCGATATCACTAAGGCCAGCGATGTTTAGCGTGCTATATACACGAAACACATCCGGGCATCGAGAAGATTAAGATGGTCGCGCGGAGCCATGTCTGGTGTCCAGGCATAGACGAGGCTATTGAGAACAGAGTTAATGGTTGTGCCACATATCAAGTCCACCGGCGGTCATCGAGTCCAGTGAAACACCATGGCCATTCCAAGAAAACGCATGGTAACGTCTTCATGTTGATTTCCGGGACCGTTAACCTGCGCATATTTCTTGGGGCTTGTTTATGCGTTTTCCAAGTGGGTGGAAGTACTCAAAGTGACCTCCCCATCAGCGAAGCCCACAGTGCAGTGCTTGCGATCCACTTTTTACACACATGGGATGGGATACCTGATGTGGCCGTCAGTGGTGATGGTCCGGCGTTCGTCAGTGCCGAATTCAAAGAATTCCTGGCAAGAAATGGAGTTGGTGCCATCATTATTCCACAGCATCATCCAGCATCAAACTGCGCTGCCAAGGGGGAGGTACAAACGACCAAGGCGGAGCTTAAGAAAGCTGAACCTCAGGATGTTTAGCTCAAAATTCAGAAAATTATATTTAATTACAAAACGACGCCACGCTACCTAACCAGACGGACGCCAGCGGAGCTATCGATGGGGCGTCGCCTAAAAGCTGCCTTGGACTTGTTACATCCAGATCTCTGAGTCCCAGCAGAGTTCAGGCAGCTGTAGCAGAAGGAGCGAACTGACCGATCGGCAAGGCGAAACAGATTACCGGAGCAGGGTGATCATGTTTGGGCACGAAATTTCAGATCCGGAGATCGTTGGGTCCCTGTGATAGCTGGGCAATCCACCAGTGCATCGTCGGCACGACTGATGTTGGAAGAAGGCGGTACCTGGAGTCGCCACGGGGACCAATTGAGGCGAGGAACCCTCGTCCCGCCACAAGACAACGTGGAGGTGCAGCCGTCATTAGAGAGTGTGGTGAACAGATGGGGCAACGAATCCTGGTGCAGCCACAAGACAACGTAGGTAGGCAGACGTCATTGGAAATTGTGGTGAACCTACCTGATGAGGACGTGCGTGACACTACTGGTATTTGTATGCCTAGAGACGATGCACAGATACCAAGCGCCATTGTTGAACGTTCAGGACGGGATGTGCGAACGGACCCTGTGAGACGATCAATTAGAAAGTACAGACCTCCAGTACAGTATTCTCCTGATGAACACTGTGAATTGAGGGGGAGGGGCGTGACAGTGGGGCTGGGGGCGTTTGGTGGACAAGGCGGTAGCTGCACGGGGAGTGTGACTGAGCTAGAAAAAACAACAAGAAATGGTGGCTCTCGAAACTATGGGGCTTGGCAAGTACTTACGCTCGTGTAATCTGTAAAATCTCTGAAGTAGGGCACATCGCACACTCTGGGGACAATATATCAATCGAGATGTGCAAGCTTCTCTAGTTACAGTTTTTCTTCTTTTTGTGAATGGAAAGATAGTCAATAAACCTAGATTATGCAAAAAAAAAAAAAAGACACGATCGTTTTAAAGGTTTGACACTGGAAGTGAACTTCAAAGTTTGTTTTCGTTTCAGCACCTCTAGAATCACTTTTATATAAAAGCAGAAAAAACGTCCCGAAACAATTGCATCAGTTTCGAAATGCTCATAATTCCAATAACCTATGCAGAAAACCAAAGAGAAATCTAGGCGAATACCCCATCATGCGATTATCAGGTCCATCAGTGTTAGTTTAGCACCAACAAAAACTAACTACGCTAAAAGAACGTAATGCGTACTATGCGGCCCAATTCCTGGAATAACTTATTTGAAGTAGATAACCAAAATGAGGAGCTCACGAATGCGCGTGCCAGATGGAATTAGTTTTAGGCCTTTGCTCTGGAAGAGTTACTACTGCAGCCGCCAGCACGTGCAGCGAGTGTAGCTACACTCGCAGTAGGGTCCTAATGCTGGGATAATTTAGCAGAAAGTCTATCCTCGTTTATTAAATTCGCACGAAATTGGACTGAAGGTTTTAACATCCACGTTTATAACCGGGTTGAGGACGAAAATCGACCGAAAATGTGATTGCAGCTTAATTGTGTGTCCCCGCGTGTCCTCCTCAAAGTGGCCACTCTACCACAAAGTACCCAGATCCGATTTCATCTCAGTAATTCAAGGTGACTCACTAAGGCACACACACAAATTGAAGGTAAAAAAAACAAACAAGAACTCAAAAAGAACCGTAAAAGTTGGCCACGTCCACTGTCTCCCAAGTCGTACCATGCAAGCAACGCAGTATTTAAAATAAACAATCGTTTAATTCTGCGTAGAAAACATTAAACAGTCGTTTCGGGAGTGATTTAGATCAATTTCCCGGATAAATTTTTCGGGAAAACTGACTTGGTGCGTAGGTCACGTAAAGTCGATTTCCCGGCTAAACTTAACAGGGAAACTAAATTGTTTTATAGGTCACCTGACGTCAAAACACATGATATCCCTTTTCCTGCCAAATTTAGGGGGGAAACTAGATTGCTTCGTAGGTTTCGTGGCGTCAGTTCACCTGACGTTAGTTCTCCCGCTCAATTTTACGGGGAAATTGAATTGCTGCGTTGGTTTCACGGTGTCCCATCACGTGACATTGATTTTTCCGCTAAATTTAGCGATAATTGTGGTTTTGGTCACGTTAGGTGAATGTCCCCGCTAACGTTTAGCGGGAAATGCACGGAGGAACGGACAACACTTTAGGATTGAGGGTTCCGTTCAAAATTGCTTCGTAGTCTACTAAGGAAAAAAACTCACCGGTGCCTTGGAGTCTCCGACTGAGCTCGACGGTGAAGAGCATGTTGCACTGCTTGGTGGTGCAGTAGTTGAGAAGCGGGAACCAGTACTCCCCGAAACTGAGGTCATTAATGTCCAACCGGCCCAGCGTCTGCCCCACGGAGCCCACTACCACGATGCGGCTGGGCTGGCTTCTCTTCAACAGGTCTGCGGGGAGTGCCGTCACGCCCTTCGTTATCTTCGGTCGACACTAAAGAGCATAAAGCCATGGTCACGCTGTTCATATAGCCTACCAGGCACGTAGCCAGGATTTTGTGCCAGTATTTTGTGTCCTCCTCAAGAGCTGCGCTCAAGTTTCGGATTACGGGGATTCGTAAACGTCCTTCATTTTTTTAATGGTTATAAAGCGCATCAGGACAACGGACAAAAAGGAAGACACAGGCACAGCTGTATTTGTGTCTCTTTTTCTCTCCGTTGTTCTGTTACGCTTCTTAACCATTATGAATCACCAACTCGCCAAACACTCCACCCTCATCAGGCTCATTAGTTTTTGTTCACTTTCTCAGTGTCGCGTGGTTCTTTTTTCATGTTACTTTATTTTTTGGTCCTTTGGGTAAGCTGTCACAATAGTGTTCACAAGAAACTTTCGGCCGTCGTTCTTGCAGAAATTGTTAAAAAGTGTTCGCCCGAGATCAACCTCGCAGACCTTGTTTGAGCTTACCCAAGTAGACCCCCTTACAAGGCCTATTGGGAGACCCAAATATAACAAAACACCATATTACCTTGGCGATTATGTTCGACGAGTTTTACAGCGGCGAATTAATTCCTATGACGAATGTTCTGCTGTGACGAACGGGCCCATTACCTGTTGCCCTAAGACGAATTGAATGTGACGAAAGCTGCGGTTTGACGTATGAGACGAAGTACAGTCGATCGCAATTTTACGAAGAATAAAAGCTTGAGGTTACTTAATTGCACTTGTAGAATCTTACGGTTACCTTCGTTAACCGAGCGGTATTTCCTCATTTTAAGGAAAATCAGTGATTTCGTAGAAAAATGCATATAATTACGTAATTATAGTAAATATTTGTATTGCAGCTGAACACAGGAAGATGCGTTTAATCCTGTTCATTCTGAAACGAGCATGATAAGATGGTAACACTCCGCCGTTTTATCTTGGCACCGTTCTTAAAGACTTCGTTGTCTTGCGGTCACAGGAAAGAGGGGAGGGGGGGGGGGGGAGCAGCTAGAGACGCTGCTTTCATCACTGTCAGAAGTTAAGCGAAGGGAACCGTAGTTATTATCAAATTGACTCCGTGGGGTCACGTGATCACGACGTATTGGTAGGTTTGTGCAAGGTACTTGCCCAGTAGAAGGTGCGTCAGTAAAAAATGCCCGAGGTGATTAGCCTGGAAGGTGACCTCAAATCCATCCTTCGTCTCCTCGCGGTTTGGAGGAGCTGAAACGTCATCGCATGGGAAAGGAAATGGAAATATTGTTATCTCTGGGTACAAACACGCTTTATTCACGCATTACCCAACCTTTTAAAAAAGTAAGAAAAAAAAAACACGTCACAAACGGTATTAGGCATTGCATTGGTCGTAACAGAGTACTGGTAAACTAGCGAAATGATGGTAAAAAAATAGTTAGGCTTCACGTAGAAGGAAAATTCGGAAGCTTTATTATTATGTGAAAGGTTGCATGTTTGCTAAACGACGTATTAAAATGTGCATGCAATAGTTTGTAATCGTACGAGGGGCTCGGTACGAAACGTGTGAACAAGAGGCATTGAACGCGGGGTGACGTTAACTTGTTCCATTTGTTTTCTCGAAACGAATCAGTATTACCGACGATGTCGTCGCTTCAACTTTGAGTCTCTCCTGCTTTCGATGTCAGACGGACTTTTATGGTAGCAAATCACTAAAAAAAGGCTGGGAGTAAAAATACTGAATTTACATCCCTTTCTTTACACAGGTGGCGTCTATCAACAGAAATAACGAGATAGACTAGAAAGCACTTCCTGTAAAAATAACGAGTTACGTTTTCTGGCCGTACCTTTATAAATTTGACGTGCACACCTGCATACCTCGTTCACGATGTTTTTATTTAACATAAATGACACGACTAATTAGATGGTGTGGTTGATGCTGTTCTAATAATTTTACTGTGTCTAATCCCAACCCCTGCTAATTTCAATCTACGAGTACATGAATGAGCATGTACCGGCATGCGGTCGTGTATCGATCACCACCTTATGATGCACGTTCATTTATTATTTTTATTTCATAATACTACAAGTCCCCAGCAAGGACTACGATAGGAGTGAAGACAAAAAATCAATAGACAATGTAATAAACAAGCAGAACACAGTGAAAAAAAGAACTATACGACACCTAATACTCATATCAAATAGCACGAAAGTACAACCAAAATAAGAATATGAGGTATATTGGTTACATGGTAGGACACTTGACATAATCCAAAACCGTCTTGGACTTCAGGCGAGCAATGGTACTGCACTTGCTACATGTCTAATCCACACAGCGGAGACACGTACGCCCATGGGGGCTTACTACCATTAGCTGTCTAAACACGCGTACATTACAAAAATATTTTGTACCCCATATATTTGTTAAGGGAGAACAAGCGTCCCCACTCACACATCATGCCGGCGTTATTGATGAGAACATCCAGGCGCTCTTCGGAGGCGATCACCTTGCTCGCGAAGTCCCGCACTGAATCAAAGGAGCACAGGTCTAGCTGCATGCAGACCACGTGCCTGCCCGTGGTCTTGAAGATGTCGTCGGCAGCGTCCCGAGCCTTGTCCTGGTTTCGGCATGCCAGGATCACTCTGGCATTCCTCCTGGCCAACTCCCTCGCCGTCTCCTTGCCGATTCCTGGGTCAAACGCAAAAAGTAGAAGTTTAGAAAAACGAAATCGCAGCTTTTCGCCACGTGGGTGAAGAAATGACAGCGACAGCTGGTATTGCGCCTACTAACACCCACTTTTATGAATATCGACTTATTATTTACTCGATTACGCACAACACAGCCTTTTGTACACTGAAGTCAATTAAAGAAAACACATTGCATACATGAGTCAGTGTCTCTGCCTACTACCCCATTCACACGACTGTAAAGGTATATTTAGCTAAGGAACCTTTATTCTCTGCGACCGATCAATTTCTGATCTTCCGCGCGTGGCGTGTGCTCGCGACCCAGGAGCGCGGGCTTATTCGCCGATAACAAATGGACCTATGTTAAAGGTACCTTTATGTCGACCGTGTGAATGGGGTATAAGATTAGTACCAATTCACACGGCACCGCGAAGGTACCTTAAGCTTAGGTCCCTTAGCTGAAAGTACCTGTAGTAAACGGCGTTCTTGATCACATGATAAATAAATGGAGCACTTTGAGTTGGTGTCGATTGCATTCCTGCTAAACCAGGAGAGGAGCACGTGATAAATAATTATTTCTTGAAATTTGTTTGATGCACAGTTTTTGTTTATTCTGTCTAAAATATTACATTTAAGACCAAAATATTCGTGTTTGCTTTTGCGGCACTTCATTTTTTCCCCCAAAAGTTTAAGGGCGCACCTAAAGTAGTCTTGCTTTAAAACGTCCGACCCGTCTGGCCACACTGGCCCTAAATCATCTGCGCTTACGAGTTTCCATTGCGAGGTAGGTGAGCGACCTTTTTCTGTTTAGCAGCTCAATTTTTCCGCAAAGTTCTCACTGAAGTAGCTAAACAGTGCCATGCAGAAACGAACCACGTTGGAGTCAGTTACGCCAGTCACGCCATCGGAAGGGATGGACGACGACGAGGCTAAAAGGTCCTAGGCGGGCGAGTCAGAAGACTCGTCTACAACCTCTAAAAGCGGGGAGGCGGAGCGGGAGCCTTCTGGCACTGTGCCAAAAGGCTCCCACTCTACCTCCCTACCTCTGTCCCTCTACACGATTGTACCCTGACCAGCACCAGTTGGCGTTCACAGGGGGTTCCTCAAAATCCCGCAGGTGTGCTTCTGCCACTCCGAACGTCGACATGCTCGTGCTTCCATTTCGTAGAACAATTGTTGCCACGTTTGCTTCTGGCGCGCACACCCCATTTGTTTATAGAATACAGCGATTACATAAATTAAAAGTGCTTATTTAAACTGTAATTTAAACTTACAGTAATTAGTTATGTTGTATTGTTATCGGTGTTTGGAAAAATTTATCAATCATTGTTAAGAAATACATCTAGTGGTAAAGAATTACTATTTTCTAGGCTCAGCGATTTCAATCAAATTAATCGGATTTAAGTCAACAAAATCCCATTTGATTTTATTTCATTTTAATTTATCAAACTCTTAAATCGCCAGTGCGGCTCTACATAAGGGAAGGCAAGTGCAACATAATTCATTTAGAACACAAACACAAAACAATCAATAGCAAAAAAAAAAATCAGGTTTAAGTAAGTGGTAAGAGAAGCTCTGAAACAAGAGGATTTTTGAACGATTACAATATTATCAATGAGACAGTTCCATTCTAATGCTGCAGTGGTGAGAATTTAAAAGGTTTGTTCGTGGGGTGACCAAATGAAGTTCTTTCGACTTGTCAGTACGTGCGGCAATGTGTGGTAATACAAATTGAGTAATAATGTAAGTCTGGAAAATTTTCTTCGGTCTGCGAGAGATGGTAGTCCAAGTTTCTCTTTTATTGCGATGATGCTTGTGCGCGTGTAAAATTTGTGAATGAAGCGTGTGGCTGTTTTGCACCGATCTACCAAATAAGACTGATATGGATTTCATATTATTGAAGCGTGTTCGAGTTGAGACCGAATGAGTGCGGCATATGCTACAAGCTTTGTTTCCCAGTTGGCCATGTAAAAATTTCGTCTTAGAAAACCAAGACTATGGTTTGCTTCTGCTCAAATGTGATTAATGTGGGCTTCCCCAGAGATGTTTGACGTGAAATGAACCCCAAGATATTTATATGTATGCACATGTTCAAAAACCACATCGAAGAGAGTGAATTTCAAATCTGTTTGAATTCGCTTAGTGATAAAATTTAGAAATTTTGTTCTGCAATATTTCATTTATTTTGCCACTTTTAACACCATGTCTGAAGGGTGATTAAGTTGTGCTGAAGTTCATTACAATCATATAAGTAGGATATGTTTCTATACACCACACAATCATCGACATAGAATCATCGGATGGTGAACTAAAAGTAGTAAAGAAATCATTCACGAAAAAAATAAAAATGGACTATAGCACGGTGATTTGCGGTACTCCTGATTTCACTTTATGATAAGATGAGGATTCACGTTCATAGCACACAATTTGCGAGCGGTCGAACAGGAAGTTCAATATACTCAGACTCACAAATGTTCCTATTTGGAAAGCGCGTAATTTAAGAAGTCGTTTAAAAAGAAGTCGATAAAAATTGTATGGGTTTCCGTTTTAAAGTGACCGTTCTGATGTAGGTCTGTGACAAATTCTAGGAGTTCAGTTTTACAAGAATGATACCGCCGGAAACCGTGCTGGTTTATAGAAAGTGAGTTTTTCACCAACTAGAGATCTACAATTTTTGAAAAAAAAAAAGCTCCTTGAGGTTGCTTGTACAATTGTAAAAGAAATTGGTCTATAATTCGTCAACTCATACCCTTGACCGTTCTTCGAAATTGGGGGGACTTTTCCTTTTTCCAATTGACAGGTGTTCAGTACATGATAATTGTTGGAAAAGTAAACACAGAAGAGGCGGAAGCTTGGTATTTGCAGCTTCGTTGAAATACGATTAAGGCCAGGAGCTGAATTTGTCGGGAGATTTTTTATTAGCTTCTGAATCCCAGTGATTGGACTCCTTTGCGTTAGTATACTGTCATCAGGTAAAAGAACAGGTAAGAGAAAGCTCTCATAAGAAAACGTTTCACTGAAAACGTTACCGAATGGTTCACACACGTCAACAGCCTCCCAGTTGTCTCTCGAAGAACCAGTAAAACAAAAAGGAATAGAAGTGTGCTTGGGGTCAACCGCATTCCGAAACGTTTTCGGATTGTTTTTTTATAAGGCAGCTATAGGTCTTCGTTAAAGAACTTGTTTTTCGCTTTCTTTGTACATTTTGCAAACATTCGCGGAATTTCGCCGTACTTTACAAATGCAGTTAAAGAACGCAATATTTTTGCCTGGCGACATAGTGTCTGCTTTTTATTCGTCTGCTTTTTATTCAGGAGTTTTTTTAACATAGTTTGACAATTAGGGGTTTTCAACAGAGGATATAGATGATTTATAATAAAAAAATATCAATTTTTAAAAACAATCGTTCTATTTTGGCTTGAAAGGATGGGGCTTGCTCGTGTTGGTCGAAGTGTAGGAGGCAACAATAGCGGGTGACGGTGAAGGGAACGGAGATAAAGAGTGTAAGCTGTCTGATAGCACTCCTCTCTTCCCCTTCCCCCCCCCCCCCCCCCCCCCGGCCCCAATTCGCCCCCCCCCCCCTCGCTCTCATTCTTACTGTGCCGCCAGCAGGAGCAAACAAGGTCCTTAGTAGGACCCCATACAAAGCTACAACTCTTTAGACGAGCAACGAACTCATTATCGAACGACACCCGCTAATTTCTAATCTCATTTGCGTAACTAAAGAGGTGAAGGTCAAGTTCGAGCCTCCTCCTTCTTACGTAAAAGCAGGTTGCGAGGTAGTAAAGTTCGTAAACGTCTGGTAAATAAAATAGCGCTCAACGTGCACGCAGAGCTAGATATTCCGGTCTGATCCGTTTCCCTATGCATATCTGCTTTCCGCATCATACGTTAAGGCCAAGTGATAGTCGAGATCTGTTCGGACAGCCGTAAGCTCGTAATTCCGGGCTGAACTGAATGGGAGGCTGCCTATGCGGGTAGAAATTGAGGGAGAGGGTGGGACGAGAGAGCCGAGCTCTGACTGGAATGATTATTGGAGAAGCAAAGCTAGCTTTCTTTGCATCTACTCACTGTTCGAACGCGTTCGAACGCTAACGGCGAGAGCCGGTCGCCAGCGTTCGGCGTTCGAACGCCTTCGAAAAGTAAGTCGAGACAAAGGCGGCTATAGCTTTGCGACCACCCATGTTGGAGCGCGGTTCTCTGGCATTCGCGCGCGCCCTCGTCTCTTCCAGTACCTCTCGCTCTCTCTCTCTCACTCTCTCTTGATGTTTCTACCCTTATAACTCGAGCACCACCGCGAGCCCCTTCCGCATGCCAAAAATTCAGTTTTTCTCTATTTAACAAGTGCAACACGTATCTTACGGAATACCTGGTGGACTAAATGAACTGATATTGTATATTGTCCACCGAGAAACTCATAAACGCAGGGAAGAGTTAGAACAGCATCAGTGGCTTCGTGAGCAACACGTTTCTGAAAGAACCTCAGCTTAAAGGGATGCTACAACGAAATTTCTTCGGAAGGAAAAAAACTTCCGGAAGCATGTGTCTGCTAAAATCTCCCGCAGCGGCTCGAAGCCTTCGTTAGTTTTAGGTACCTATAATGCTGTATTGCCATGGAATAATAAAAGTCTGGTCGCTGATTCGCCGTGAAGGTGAACTTCACTCCAGTCCTGTTTGTGTGAGTCCACCGCTTCATATTACGCGGACACCGACCGTTATAATACTCGTCCTCTTGAGTGTATCTTGAGTATATCTGCTCACAAATATCTAATAGATTTTAGTCAAAGAACAAAGGAACTTGAAGTGCGTGCATATTTTCATACTTCCGGACGATGGTGTTTTCCGTTTTTACACGACGTTTTCGCTGTTTCCATGAGAACACATGTAAAATGCATAAAGCAAGTCTACCATAAGAGGGGTTCCGTGTTTTCGGAGTTTATTTTTCGTCAATGTCGGATTGTGTTTTTTTTAGTTTATTTGTTTGCCGAAAAATTAGGAGTT